CTTTTCGACTGTGCTAATTCAAACCATTGACGCTTAGCTCTTACGGTTAAAAACAGAGGCCTCAGATCACTACGTCGCCAGATCACCTTGGGGCGATTTTTCTATAAATTTTAATTGATGATGGCTAAATGTTTACTAATTTTGTAGTTGAGAATAAAAAAACGTAGTGTAGTTATGCGTTACGTGCTGTCACATCCCAGAGTGTGTCAGATCCCGGTTTTGCTCAAAATTAGCACAATTTTAAAACTTTTGTATTACTGTTTCTGGTTTAGCACATTGCTTCTGATTATTATATTTTTTATGTATATTGCACCTTTGATTTATCATAGCTTTTTTTAATCAATTATACGTTGGTCGCTGAATAAAAAAATGATTTTCATTTTTCCGATTTTCTGTTTTTTCTTCGAGCTTTTACACTTTCCGATTTTTTTTGTTTTTTAACAGAAATGCCTCGCCTTGCGTCTGAGTTTCAAAATCTATTTCTTTAGAAAATTGCACCAATAACTCTAAAGTCCAAAAAATCCATGGTCATTAATACCTAGGAAGAATTAAATCACTTTTTTTGTAGCTACTTTGACAAATGAATTTGCTGCACACCTAAACAGATCATTCAGCATGACGTTTCACGTATAACGCGATTCGCTCAAAAGTCACGTCATGCGAGTACAATGCAGTCATTTTCGTGCTTGTCTTATGAGTACTGTAGTATTTTTATGCCATTTGTTTTGCATATTTGATCATACTGCTTTTTTTAGGCAAATTACGTGATATCTCACTTTTTTTTTCCAAATAGCTCTGTTACAGGCTTGTTTTGTTTTGTTTAACTGACTTTTAATACGATTTGAAGAAGTAATATGTTTAAATGGTAATAAAACAGTACAGAAGGTGGGATTAATAACCATGGCAATGTGGTAAACCACATTTATCATCAGAATAAATATAATTTTGAAATTCTTTTATTGCAAAAGTTGATTTAGTATATTTGTCTTTGACTACAACAACTTTTGCATACGTCACACCTTTGATTTATATATTATTACAGCTAAATTTATGGTATTTTCTTATGAACAGAAAGTTCGTACTACTGTATCTAAACCTGTGGTGTTATTTTACAAAAATCAAGTTAACAGTGCTATAAATGAATCTGCGATACTTCCTCAAGAACAGCAAAGTAACAACACTACACTGCAATGAATTTTTGCGTAAATCTAGCTTCACATCATATCTTTGTACGAGAATCATACAGTCGTGCGCGGACACTACATACACGAAGAATTACATTAAGAGAACATTTTAATCGTTATCCGCATGAAAACAGTGATTGCGCAACCTTACTTTTTCAAAAAAAAAGCCTTTTCCGGGATATTGTCAGTACCAATCATCTGCCCTTTTTTTTCAGCTTACTTTGCTCAATTGCAACTAACCAGCCTATTTTTCCAGCTATACAGTTGACAACCGTGCCGATTACTTTGAATCATTTTCATAGCCATATTTCCATATACACTTTTCAATTTGCTCAAAACTATTGCTTAAATAACATTTATTTTTCTGCCTTAATTCAATGAGTAGCTGAAAGTTTAAACATTTTTTTACCAGCTAAATTGTGCATAACATTAAAACAACGATGATGAAAGAGCAAATGATAAATTTTTAGAAGTGAAATGCTTTTAACTGATTGAGACTATGTTTTAAATAGGTCGAGTAAGAAATAGGACTTCAAAAAAGTTGTTTTTTCACATTGCGAGAACATTTTGAACTTCGGAAAACAAATCATGCTATTTCTTTTTTTTTGGATTTTAATCATATTGTAGAACAGAATGGCTGGGATGCAAGCAGTTCCACTGCGGTATATTCGCAAATTAAGCATACTAAATGTCCCAGGAAGGGAATCAGTTCAACTTTCGTAAGCGATCTCGACGTACGTTCAAAGAAGCAACATTTTCCGAAAAGGTATACGTAGCTCACATCAACTGATCTTTTCGAATTATCGGATTTCTTTGAAAATTTAAATTTACAGTCCAGCTCTTTAAACTATAAAAAACAGTACTCCAGCGCAGTAAAGCAATCATTTCTCACGGCTTTGTCGCTGTTGCGATGCATGCAGCAACTGTCAGTGTAAACAGAATTAGCGACAAGAATTTGAAAAACAACTAAGCTTGACTTATTGTTGGCGTTTTTGTGTCTGATAGGGCTAGCAAGGCACTTTAGGTCCGTAACTTGACCCCTTGACCGATCTCGTAGTGTAGAGGTTATCACGCCTGTTTGACACACAGGAGGTCGGCGGTTCAAACCCGCCCGAGATCACAAGCTTCTCAGTCATTTGAGGTGCTTTTTTGATTATTTAAGGGGTTCGACAGCGAGTTTGGCAACGAAAAGCATTGTTGCCATGTTATCAACCGAATCAAGTGACAGTGGTGCGCTGAACCTTTCCGACAACGATTATAAACGTTTGCGTTTTGGTAAAATTTTAAATTTGCTAAACTTTTAACAAATACACTTCGAAAATTAATCAATTCTTTTTTTCTTACTGATTATTTCTTCCTCATTTCTGATAATTGACTGTTTCCTTTGATTATTGATTAGTTCTCCATCATTTTTTATTGAATTACTGTAATGTGATCACGTGGCTTCACATGATTAAAATTAACTGACCTGTGCCCATCTCCTGAAACTTCAGTCACAGTAACTTATCCTGAATTCCGAATTTTCTGGAAAAAGTTTTTGAAAAATTCCAAAAGTCGGAGGAATTTTTAAACGACTACATGAAAGCAGCATTTCCACAAAATCCTGACTCGGGCACCTCATCATGGTTTGAGAGTGGTATAGTAGTCAGTATTGAGGTACGGCGAGTTACAGACCCTGGCCTTGACTATTTCTAGTAAAGGTAAAAAAAAAATTTCCAACGAAAAAATGAAGTGTTCCAATTTTAACATCTCCTGCTCAAAATTGGTTTATTCATAAGTAAAATAATCTTCTTGACCAAAATGAGTTCTAATTCCACCTGGCTCTCTTAAGTTGTTGATTTACGGGATTTATTTGTGGCTTAGTGCGCCCTAAGTGTAGAACATTTCAACAAAATCACAAACACGAGATAACCGCGTGAACGACCTTGATACTCTTGGAGCAGAGCAGATAAGTTTTATTAAGATTAATTCTAGTAAAATTAAAGAGTTCTAAATCAATAACCCGCACGGTTCTTGTAAAGATTTTTATCGAATATTCTTGAAAGTAAAGCTTTTTATTTTTGCACCAAAAAAAAGCGAAAATCTGGCTTCTAAATGTTGACATCTGGGAGCTTACAAATGAGATTTGAACAGTTGTCGTGGTTGTGTTATTCCAGACTCGAAATCACTGGATCAATCGCAGTATTGGACAAGTGGTGAGAATGCGCTCAGTGAGCACTCGCTCTACGAAACGCAATCGAGCCAGGATGATGAGAATTTTTTCACATCCAAGGTTAGGCCTTTTTTTCTAGAAGTCGTACGTGGCAGACAATTATCTCGAAAAAGTTCTGATATTTGGATTTGTCAAAGTACACTTTCAGGAATTGTTGCCAAAGTGCTTTGATGTACTTAAAGATATCGTTATGTTGGAGCGTACGGCAGTTTCCGATTTGAAAATCCTTTCCGAGGTTTGTTTTTTTCTCATCCTTCATATATTTTTGAAATAAGTCAAATGTGTAATATGCTGAAATCAGTATTATATATACAAACTGAGCATATGAAGACCGTCTGACATTCGGCGTGTGTACCCCATATTAGTAATGTTACTGGTATCCTGCTACCTGCCGAATGCAGCTGTGCCAGGCCTTTTAAATTTAAGCTGAATACCTCCGTTCATTACCAACCGTCTCTCCGTCCTTAAATGGGGTGTGAAAACTACAAATCTAAGAAGTTTTATATTTCGTCATTACAGTTTTCACCCATGGCTTTGCCTGTGTTTACGACTTTCACAAACACATCTGTTATTTGTGTCCCTTGATGTATGCAGTATTTGGACCGGAATGTTGCATATATCAATGGAGAACACGTAAAGTCGAGCCAGATTTACATTTCTTTTCGCATCTCTTCAAGAAACGAATCAGAGTTTTTCGCGTCGAAGCTTTATTTTCTCTTTTTTTTTCCAGGACTTTTACCAGATATTCTGTGAGAGAATTTTCTCATGCGGACGGACTGCGGTGGACTTCTTTGGTGATTTGAAATATCTTTATCGATTTCATTATGATCACCTCAGCGCACTGGAAGAGCTCATCAAGAATTGGTAACGAATTTCTTAATCTGATTCCACAAAGCAGTTAAATACGTAATTATCAAATACACACACTTTGATCAGTTTTCATTTGGAAAGCTTATACTTTTTCAGTTGGTTTAGCCAATACTGCAATTTGCTGATGATCTAGACGTTTTTTCGCCTCCTGAAGGGTGCACCAGTCTATGTAAGTGCTATATCTGCGGGCGCAACTAAGCCAGATCATTCGTTCCTTAGACCTGAGGGTCGCCTACTTCAGTCAGTACCTGGGCACAGCCCACCTCGAGTCGGATTACACGTAATCGAAGAGCAACTGGCCAAGGCGAAGGGAGGTTAGCCGACAGATTCGTTTTCTTGCCGTTTTCACCTTCTTCCTTTGGCAACACCTACTCCAGTTGGTACTTAGTATCCACTGCCTGCTCGTATGTGTGCCGTTCCTTCGAAGGCTACCCAAGTGAACATTTACTAAAATATACTGTAGCATAATAGAAGCGGAATAAATATGAAGGAAGTAGTCAGAATTGTATGCTTATAAAAGTTAGCAGACTAGGGAAGAAATATTTTGATCCATGAAGCCGTACACATTTCTTGCTATTGCCACAACCGGACCTCGTCAAAAAAAAACATCGAACAATAAAATAATGCCAGATCTCTAATTGTAATTTAGGAAGAGCGGTATGGATAACACAAATACTGAACAACCTAAAATTGGCGACACACTTTTATGTTCCGTTGACGGTGCACTGCAACATTACCGGTAATTTTTGCTGAAATTCTTGCGCAGTCAAACTGAATAGTTTATACACTTTTCGTTAATGAATTTCTGCGGGTATTTGACAGAGTTCTGTCAAAATGGCAAAGGTATTTGACAGAATTCTTGACCTCTCAGAGCGGTAGAAAACAATTCCAGTCCCATAACTATCCAGTCTTAGAACAAATATTTTTGAAATATTTCGAGGAGGTTTCGGGTCTTCTACGGAGGTTTAGGTTTTTCACCAAGAATGCCATGATATTGACGTCGCGCGGGTTATCACTGTGGGCATCCCATGTTAGTGACATTGCTGGGATACTCTCGTGCGCAAAGCGCAAATATGGCTTAGGTAGAGCTGCATATAACCGGTTAGGATCCAAACCAGCCCTTGTCCATTTTCACCACGTCATTAGAAAACATCTGAGTGATCGTTTAGTTTCTCAGAAGTGTTACTCACCTGCGCAACGTGTTAATAATTGCGCGGTGTAATTTGAAGAAAATGTAGATCCTCAAGATGATCAAGACAGAATGGTGAATCTTGCAGACTAGTCGCCGTTGCAAACTTGTGCCTGTTGCAAAGTGTTCTAGGTTGGAAACTGGCATCCGTTACAAATTGATTTTTGTTCCAAACTGGTGCCTGTTGCAAATAGCGCATACTGCAGACTGATGTCTGCTAGAAACTGATTTCTGTTACAAACCGGTGTCCGTTGCAAACTGGTGTCTGCTGCGAGCTGATGTCTGCTGCAAAGAAGTGTCTGTTGCAAAGCGGTTACTGTTGCAAATTGGTGTGTTGCAAAGTGATTTCAGTACCAAACTGATTTCTGTTGCAAAGTGGTTTTTGTTACAAAGTGGTGTGTGTTGCAGAGCGGTTTCTGTTGCAGAGTAGTTTCTGTTGCAAAGTAGATTGTGTTCCAATTGGTTTCTGCTGCAAAGTGGTTTCTGTGGCAATGTGGCGTCTGTCGTAAAACGGTATCAGTCGCCAACTGGTGTCTGTTGCAAAGTGGTTTCTGCTGCAAAATGTTGTGTGTTGCAAAGTAGTGTTTGTTCCAAGTGCTTTCTGTCGCAAAGTGGCTTCTGTTGCAGAGTGGTTTCTGCTGCAAAGTGGTTTCTGTTGCAAGGTGGTTTCTGTTGCAAAATGGTTTCTATTGCAATGTGGGGTCTGTCGTAAACCGGTATCAGTTGCCAACTGGTGTCTGTTGCAAACTGATTTCTGCTGCAAAGTGGTTTCTGTTGCAAAGTGGTTTCTGTTGCAAAGTGGTTTCTGTTGCAAAACGTTTCTGTTGCAATGTGCCGTCTGTCACAAACTGGTGTCAGTCGCTAACTGATGTCTGTTGCAAAGTGGTTTCTGTTGCAAGGTAGTTTGTGTTACAAAGTGGTTTCTGTTGCGAAATGGTTTCTGTTGCAACATGATTTCTGTTGCAAAGTGATGTCTGTTGCAGAGTGGTTTCTGTTTCAAAGTAGTTTGTGTTGCAAAGTGGTTTCTGTTGCAAAGTGTTTCTGTTGCAAAGTGGTTTCTGTTGCAAAGTGGTTTCTGCTGCAAAGTGGCTTCTGTTGCAAAGTGGTTTCTG